TGAAAAGAATCATTTAAAATTAATAATGTGAGCTTTCACCTTAGGAAAGTAGAAGATCAGTAATTTAGGCCAGCAGCAAACAGAACAGAATAGAAATTAGAACCGAAGTCAATGTGATTGAAAAGAAAAGCAATAGAGGAAAAATGTTAAAGCCTAAAAGCCTTTCCTTGAAAGACCAATAAAATTGTAAACCTCTGGCTGAGCTAATATGAATAAAAGAGAAGACATAAATTAATCTGTATTAGAAATGAAAGAGGGATCAGCATTACTGTTCCCATAGACATTAAAACAATAATGAAGGAATATGTGAACAATTCTAAACCAACAAATTTGATAACTTAGATGAAATGGTCTAATTCCTTTACTGTCCTAAACAACCAAAATGCACAGAGAAATAGTATTAATAGGCCTGAATCTATCAAAGAAAAATTTAAATGTAAATTTTATCTTATTTTATAAAACAGTAACATAAAAATACTATTTTAAAATTTAAATATATTTACATAAATTATGTAAACACAGTACACATTTCATTCAAATAATTTCTTTAAATAATTATTTATTTAAACTTATTTATTATTACGACTATTAGGTTTTGGAATCTGACCAGAGAGAGAGAAAGAAAGTGAGAAAGCAAGCCACAGGTTCAGGATTTGAACCTTGGTCAGCCATGTGGGAGTTCGGCACCTTAACCACCATGCCACCTACTGGCCCCTCATGCAAATAAAATATTTATAAAATATCTATATGTAAAATAATTTTATTTATTTAATAATTTAACAGTATATTAAATAAAAATAATTATAAGAAAGCACCAGTTCTAGATGGTTTCACTGGTGAATTCTGCCAAAAATTAATGAAAGGAATAATACCAGTTCTCCACAATCTCTTCTAGAAAACAGAAAAAAAATACTTGTTCTGTAAAATCATCATTTCCCTAATACCAAAACCAGATAAAGACACTAGACCAGTAAAACCATAGGTTAGTATTTTCCATGAACATAGATACAGAAATCCTTAACATAATATTAGCGAATGAGTCAGCAATGTATAAAAAGAATTATTGTATACTATGACCAAGTGGGATTTATTCCAGGTATGTAAAACTGGTTCAACTTAATATAATCCACTATATCAATAAACAGAATAGTGTCTGATAATTTCAATACCCATCATAATAAAAATTCTTAGCAAACTAGGAATAAAGGGGAATGTCCTCAATAAAGAACCTCTGCAAACAGATCTCAACTGAAATACTTAAGTGATGAGAAATGGGATGTTTTCCTCCTAAAACTTTCCCTAAGAATAAAGCAAGACATTTTCTCTTACAGTCCTATGCAACATTGTACTAGAAGTCCTAGATAGTGTAATAAGATAAGAAAAGGAAATAGAAAATAAACTGTATATAGAGTGGATGTTTGGTGGGCAGATAATGGTTCCCAGAGGTATGTCTGTATGTCCTGGTTCCTGTGTGTGTTAACTTCTTTGGAAAAAATGGCTATTGCAGTTGTGATTAAGGATGTTGAGATGGGGAGAGTATTCTGGGTTATCTAGATAGGCCCTAAATATTATCTCAAGTATAGGTGCTAAATACCCTCAAGTGTCATCATATGAGAGACACAGAGGGAGATTAGACTCACACACAAGAGTTGGCTGTGTGAAGGAGGTAGAAAGTGGAGTCATGCAGCTAGGAAATGCTGACAGCTGCTGGAAGAGGCCAGGAACAGATTCCCCCCTAGTCTCCTCCACATTGAGCCTTCTCTGCTGGAAGATACATTTTTGTCTGCCGAAAGATACACTGTTGTCTTGCTTTGGCCTTTAAAACTGTGAGAAAACTCATTTATTGTTTTGAGCCAAGGCGTTTGTGGTAACGTTTTTTAAACAACTACAAGAAATTAATACAAGAAGAAAGATATAAAACAGTTTTTGTTTTCAGATGACATGATTGTCTTTGTAGAAAAGTTTAGAAAGTCAACAAACTCCTAAAGTTCTGGGTAAGTTTACCCAAGTTGTATGATACAATGTGAATATCATTGATTTCCTACCTACCAGCAATGAACAACTGGAATTTGAAAGCACTCCAAAACAATGAAATCTAGGTGTAACAAAAATAGATGTGGGAGTTATGCGCATGACTATCAGATTTGCTAAAATCCCGAAACTGTCAACACAGATCACCAGTGAAAATGTAGAGTAATATTCAGAGGTCCCATTTCTTTCTGTTAGAATTCAAAATGGTACAGTCACTTTGATAGTCTGGTAGTCTATTACAAAGCTAAAAATGGGTTTATCATAAAATCTACTAATTCCCCTCCTAGATATTTATTTAACTGATTTGAAAACGTAGGTCCACACAAAAACTTGCACGTGAATGTTTTTAGCAGCTTTATTCATAATCACCCAAACCTGGAAGTAACCAATATTTGCTTTAATAGGAAATGAATTAACAGATTGTGGTACATCCAGCTAACAGACTAATATCCGACAGTTTTTAAAAAATGAACTCTCAAGTCATGACAAAACATACATGAATCTTAGATGCACATTGCTAAGTCAGACTGAAGAAGCTGTGTGATTCTGACTGTATGACATGCTGGAAGAAACAAAATTATTGAGTTAATATAAAGATGGGGGGGTGAATATGTGAAGCCCAGGAAATATTTTTAGGCCAGTGAAAGTATTCTGTATGATCCTGTAATGACAGATACATGACACTGCATTTGTTCACACCCACAGAATGTTAACAATGAGTGAACCTCCATGTATGCAAGTAAAAATAATAATTAAGACATCAGGGAGGGACCAGCAGATGGCATAATGGTTATGTTGCTGGACTCCCACATAGTCATCCACAGTTTGAGTCCCAGACCTGGGGCTTAAAACTCATGCTGGGCTTATGCGTGTATGCCCAACATCTTGAGAGGAGAATCAAGGAAAAGGGATTATGCATGGCCATCCCCCCAGGGATGGCCACTTTCTATCTCTGACTCTCAGTCTTTCTGTCAAGCACACGTACCCTGTACCTAACATCTCTCTAAAAAACAACCAAAAACCAAACAAACAAAAAGATCAGGGATTCCCGTAACAAAAGCAAACAAAAAATCTTAAGTATTACAAATGTATATGGCCCAGCCTCACTGAAGAGGGTGAGGAGGGAAGAAGCTGACCTAAACAGTTTTATATTAAGTCATCCAGAAAGTCATGACATATTATTCTGTGTTTTCCTATGCAAAAACGTGTCATGGTTTTCCCAACCTCGCCATACATGAGTAGAGTCTATTATTAAGGCAAATGAAAGTGCACAGTAGCACTGTACTATTGTGATTAAGTTGTTTCCCACGATAGTGTGGTTATCAATTCTGTTACCACTACGTCTAGGTGCTGGATGTGAATGATAAATGGATGGCAGATGGTAGGTGCCAAGAGTTTATATACAAGCCGTGAGGAGAGGCTACAATGATCCATGTGGTTAATAGATCAGAGTTGCAGGCATCTGTATAACTCATATTTAGTTTAATATAGTTACAGATGGTTACCTATGGGAATATTTATAGGTGTGTGTGTGTATTTAATTGTCAGGGGTGCATGTACATGTGCTTGCCAGAGAGAGGGAGAGAGAGAAATCACCTTTCCCCCCAGTCCCACCCACCGCCACCTCCCTGGGATGTAGTCATGCTGTAATACCTTCTCCTCAATTTCTCTATCCAGTCAGGATTTGGGGCACGCACACACATGGAGCTGGCGCAGCCTCTTTTCTTTCGCAGTTTTATTTCTAGTGTTGTAGAGGCCAGCCATCAGTTTATTTTCCATTCACTCATTCATTTGTTAAAGAACTTAGACCATGCTTTACTTCAAGGTTTTGCACTTGATGTTTTCCTGATAGTAATACTCTTTGTCTAGATTATCTTCATTTAGTCTCCATCTGCATTTCACTATCACAGAAGCTGTTAGTGGAACTTTTTAAATATAGCTTCGGTTCCCCTTCCCCGTGGGGAATGGTCACACCACAATCTCTTCTTCTCCATTGCTCTTTCCTGTAAGGTTTTTAGGCTTGCATGCACACATGCCTGGCATGTTTCTCAAGCCACAAGGTCTGGGACTCCAACCAAAGTGTTGGCCAGGTAGGATCCAGCTGCCTTAAACATCAGGCCACAGAGCAGGCCCAACTTAGTTACTATTTCTGTAGCACTTAGGTTAGTGCGTAGCATGTAGCACTCAGTGAATCTTAACCATTATTATCATATATTTGTCTTTTTTGTGCTAGTGAAGTACATTCATAGGTTTAAATTATTGAGAAAAGGAAATTATTTAAACTACTTGCAAAGTATGAAATATTGGTTCATCAGAAAAGTCTTGACATTTTTTGTGTGTTTTTTTCTGTGCAAAAACCTGTCATGACTTTTCTGATGACCCAACAACATGGTGTTCGTCATAAAAATCCTAATCTGGAAAGCAGAGTGCTTTTATTATTGAACAATGCAATAGAAATCAGCTAATGGTGAGTCTTTTTGTGTTGTTAAAACTGTACTGTGTACTTCTCATCAAGCATGAAAGAAAAAAAGCAAGGAAAATGAGCAGGCACTCCAGTTTTGTAGTAAAATATCATGATATGTGATAATAAGCACAGAGCATAAAATTGTTTTTTTATGATCTCAGGTATGTATTAAATAAACCAACTTGATTTTAATTGGTGATGTGGAAATATGGAGGCAGGAGTAAAAGATATCACTGAGAATTCATTAGGTGCCTAATTTGATTCATCTGAGGTTCGGGAGGGGGGGAAGTATGAGCAGTATTAATTTAAAGGCAGATTTTAGTTTCAGGTTTTCAAATCATTCATGAAAAATAAAACTGTGTTACTCAGGAAAAAAAAATGTTTACACATCTGATTTCTTCTCCTGACTCAAAAGTAAATAAATAAATAAATAAATAATAAGTTCTTAATTAACATAGCGTATTTCTTTTCTTTTCTTTTCTTTTTTTTTTTTTTTTCATTTTAGGATCAGATTTTATTAAGACCTCTACTGGAAAGGAAACAGTAAATGCCACCTTCCCGGTAGCTATAGTGATGCTACGGGCCATTAGAGATTTCTTCTGGAAAACTGGAAACAAGGTATATTATTGCCAGCAAATCTTTCTTCAGAGTACAGATAATGTTATTTATAATACTAGTTACAGGCACGATAACTGTCTTTATACGCAGAAGGTGCGAATGAGTTACCTTTATTAAGATAAATGTTTAATTTACCTTTCATTATAAAAGAACACATTCATGGAGAAAAATGTGCGATTAACAGAAAGTGAGTGTGAGTGTGGGAGTAAGCATGTGTGATCAAGATGTAAACTCACTTTATGTCCTTTTATTAACTGAAGACAATTTTATCACTGACAAGAGATTCCTAAATGGGTTCTTTAACGAACTAATTCTGCTGCAACACAGAGTCTTTCTGGCAAGGCGTTGGCCAGCGAAAACAGGTTAATGCAGAAATTAAACTTCCTTGAGGAATGGAAAGAATTGCAGAGTAACATTTATTGAATGATAAGCTGTGGTGGCGATATGAAAAGTATGCAATATAATGGGAAATAATCTTTTCCTGTCATTATTGAAGGACACACATAAATTGGTTTTTCTGTTGGGAAACCCCCGGTCCAGAAAAACTTATTACTTTTAATAATATGAGGTGAAGAGAAAATTCTCGAGGAGATGAACTTATTAAACAAAATAATGAAATGCTGTGAAACAGCAGGGAAAAGGTAGCTAGACGTTATATAGCTCTTGAATTAAATATCCAGTTTTGCGTTTTATGGCAGTTGGATGTGCTCTTTGGAAGACTGTTAAGCTGAGGAGGGTATATACTAGCTTTTGTCAGCTTTTCGAAAAATAATACATATTTTTTAAACATATGAAGTTAAATGGAAAAATGTGTATGGGGCGTTTTATAAAAATGTGTTTAGATTTTTTTCTTTTCACTTCAAGTTGCTTGTTTAGCTGCAAATTATCTCAAAGGATTTTCTTCTTTTTTTTGCACCTCTGAACAGAAAGGTAGAAAGAGAGAAAGAAATGAAAATTTCCCTTCTTGAGAGGTATCTTTTAAAACCAATCTCTTGATTTCTGCCAAATAGAAACTCAAAAAGACCTTTAGTCCTTTGCCAACTGGATGTGATGACTTTATATCTGACTGTAGCTTCAGTTTATTCGGGAAGAGGAGGCTTCTATAGAATGTACTCACTTTGAGAGGAAAATAAACTCCTGGAGTTTTCTCCCTGAGAAGAACCTCACTCACATAGTAAGCACAAATAGGGTAAATACCTATTGTGACCTACATACGAAATCCAACCAAACTTGAGTGACCTCTGCTTGATAGCTTTTTCTCGATAATTCAAATGAGTTAAAACATGTTTTTATAAAGAAAAACTGTAAAGAAAAAATAGAAATCTATCTTTGATCTCACAATTGAGACTACCACCACTCACTAGACTGGTGCTTCTCATTTTCATCAAAAGAACTTTCACATCAGATGTAAATCTTTTTATTCTCACAGACACCTGGGATCTGGGATAGCCCTCAGGATCTGTGCTCATAGGCTCCATTTCAAGGTTAAAACTCACCATCGAGTACCCAGTCCCGTTTTGTTTCCAGCAAACATCTATTGACTAGTTAGCCATGTGCCATATTAACCTATATTAAATGCCAGGAATAAAAACAATGGATACCACCTTCTTAGGAGAACTCTTAGACAACAAGCAAAGATTTCAATGAAAGTTTTATATTTATTTATGTGTATATATATATATATACATATATATATATATATACACAGGAGAGGTTTTTGCTATAGGGTACATGTGCTCGCCAGAAAGACAGACAGAGACAGAGAGATAGAAAGTGAGAAATCACCCCCCACCCCCAGGTGAGATGGCCATGCCGCAATCCCTTCTCCCGCCTGGCGCGAGTTTAAGCCTCTGAGTCTGGGACTTGAACCGCGGTTGACTACATGGGAGTCTAGCAACATAGTCATTATGCCAACTGCTGGTCCCTCAATGAAAGTTTTAAAGTGTTCAGTGGTCCAGACCAGAGTACAAAGGAAATACACTTTGCTATCATTTTTTTTCCTTTTTTTTTCCTTTTTTAGTTTTGCTATGGGGCAGATATGCTTGTTGAAGAAAGACAGAAAGAGAGAGAGAGGAGAAACGTGAGAAAGCATCCCCATGGAAGGAGCCATGCCACAATTCCTTCTCCTTCACTCTCTTCTTGGGATTTTGGACACACACACACACACACACACACACACACACACACACTTGTCTGTTGTGATTTTCAAGCTGCCAGGTCCAAGACTCAATCTAGCCCACTGGCCAAGTAGGATCCAGTGGTCTTAACCATCATGCCACCGACTGGCCTACTTTGCTGTCTTTTAATCCTTTCTTTGTAATTGTGTAGGTTAGTTCCTCAACTAAAAATGCCATCCTAATTTTATTAAGGACAGGTATGAGTCAAATTGTATTCATTTAATCATGTTTGATTTCAAACAAAGAGGATCTCTGTATCTGCAAATCAGGTACAGCCTTTTGGGTTGTTGACAAGTTTCCTGGGAGCCCTTAGACTGTAAAGTTTCTACATCACTGATTTAAGGGATGCTTTAAAATGTGATAGGCCACCCTCTAGACCATGATTAGTGTCACTCCTGAGAAGCAGAGGTTTAATATTTCATAACTGATTTCATTGCAGATTTATGTTTTCCATATTCTCTGCCTGAAAAGAAAAAAATAAGATAAACTTATGCTTGAACCTCTCTTTGGAAACATTGCCAGACTTGCTGACACAAACCAAACTGTAGAGAAAATCTATATGAAGCTCTGCCTAATTGACAGAAATGCTCTTATGATTAACACATATGCTAATATCAGTGAATGGATTTGTTTTGGCCTCTCCTCAACAGATAACCTCATCCTGCTTATCCCCTCCCAGCACCTTAGAGAGTCACGGTTCCAGAGGAATAGGAGATCTGGTCAGAATGAATCCCTGTACTGCTACTGCTGAGCAGTGCTCTGTAGGTGCTTGAGGCAGGGGAACCAGTTAGAAGATTCTTACCGATAATACATGTGAGAATTGATGAGGATGTAAACTGAAATCGTGCAAGTGAGAGTAGAGAGAAAAGTGTGCATATGAGAGAGACAGAAGGAAGGATGTAGGATAGGCAGGACTTGCTTGCTGATTGGTCTGGTGTGGCAAGGATATGGTGAAGCTGAGGTAACCAAGAGGTTTCCTGCTTGGGCTGATTATAGGCCCATACTGTCTTCCTTTTCTCTCTCTCTCTCTCTCTCTCTTTTTTTTTTTTTTTGGAGAGGTTTTTGCTATAGGGCGCATGCACTCTCCAGAAAGACAGAGAGAAAGAAAGCGAGAAATCACCCCCTGGGGAGGTGGCCAGCCCACAATCCCTTCTCCTCCATTCTCCTCTCAGGAGAATGGTGCGAGTTTAAGTCACTGGGTCCAGGACTCAAACTGCAGTTGACTACATGTGAGTCCAGTGACATGGCCAATATGTCAACTGCTGGTCCCCATACTGTCTTCTTTCTCTAGCATCCTGTTACCAATCACCTGGTGCTTCTCATGCCAACAGTTCTGAGTGATAAAATGCGAGGTCTTTAGGACTTAGGCTACAAGCTGGTGTTTAGACTACTCCCATCTACAGATTCTCTTCTCTGCCGGGTAGTTCAGTTCCCGAAAAAAAGTAAAGCCAGATAATCAGGCTTTTACTGTATATGGGATATATTTCTTCTTTCCTCATAAATCCAGAGACATCATTTCTAAACCAACTATTGGCTGAATTGGGCTTTAATATTGTCGATTTTTGAAGACTACTGAACTGTGAAGAACTCCTACACTGTCTTTTTCTGCTGTGTAACTGGTCTGCCTGCTTTATGAACTCTGTGTACCCACAACTTATCAAAAAAAGTCCCTGCAGTTAAGTTAATTAAGACAATTGTCAGTTCTCTGTTGGATTGCTGTCAGCTTTGTTAGGGTGACCTTGTGGCCTCCCTGATTCTGCCCTCCTCCTTTTTTATACACATAGATGTCTTGAATGTCACGATGGAGAGGGAAAGGTGACTTTGCAGGCTTACTTGTAGAAATGCAGAATGAATCTGCTTTTTTGATAGGTTTTCCTATCTATCGACACCTTTCTTGTTTATCCCAGGTTGACAGCTATAGTCTAGATGGTTGAGGTTTATGACTTTCCAATAAGTGAAATGTTAATGAAGGTTATTAACCCTCATTAGTGCCTGCTCAGAAGCAGTGATGTTATTCTGATTAATCTTGGAAGTTATTTTGTAGTATGAATGGGCATGAGTCAGTGATCTAAGCTCTTTTGCTGGAGGAAGTGAAAAAGACTTAAAAAAGAGAATCAGGACCATATAAACAAAATGCCATTTTTAGAAACAATTCGGCAACAATAACAGTAAACACTGTTCTTTTCTGTTTCCTTTTAGGTAGGCTTCAAACCCGCAGGAGGTATCCGTAGCGCAAAGGATTCCCTTGCTTGGCTGTCTCTTATTAAGGAGGAGCTGGGGGATGAGTGGCTGAAGCCAGAACTCTTTCGAATAGGTGCCAGCACTCTGCTGTCAGACATTGAGAGGCAGGTGAGTAATAATCCATTGCCCTTAGAATAAACTGATAAATGAGAAATATAATAAGTTGACCCAATAAATGTAAAAGTCAGATTGAGAACTAGAGGGGCCAGCTGATGGCACAGTGATAAAATAGTGCTCTGTGTTCCTGGACCCTCACGGTAAGGCTTGTGTCTTGGGGGCTCCCTGTGCATGCTGGGTTTACGCACACATGCCCATGATCCAATCTGACTGGGGCAGATTGTGGCACGTTTGGGATGCCTCGCTTTCTCTGTCTCTGTCTCTATCTATCTGTCAAGCGATAAATAAATAAGGGGTCAGCAGGTGGCGTGGTGGTTATGGCTAAACTCTTACATGGCCGACCACAATTCAAGTCCTGGACCTGATGGCCAGCAGGTGGCTGGTGGTTAACATGCTGAACTCCCACAAGGCTGACCACGGTTTGAGTCCCAGACATGGTGGCTTCTTTTCTCACTTTCCCTTTCTCTTTGTCTCTCTTGGGTCAAATTAAATAATAATAAATCCATAAAATAAACTAAATAATTATTAAAAGAAGAACTAGATAAACCTAATAGCTATATTAATATCTATAAGTATACATTACTATATATATAATTTGTATATGTATATATGTGTGCGTGTGTGTGTATATATATATATATATACACACGCACACATATATATAAATATAAATTGAGAACTAGAGATGACAACTCATCTGATTTACCTCGTCATACCCAAACCTCTACCTTCTTCCAAGCAAACCTCCACCTGAAGTAGGGTGGGTGGAGATTCTGCTGAAAAACCTAATACTGAGAGTATGTTAGCATGAAATGTTAATTAGCAATTATTAATTATTCTGTGAGAGTATAAGTATTAACCGCTTTATATAGCTATGTATAATTATATAATAATTATTGACCCACCTCTGATTTCCCCTGCAGATTTACCATCATGTGACTGGAAGATATGCTGCTTATCATGATCTTCCAATGTCTTAGATCAGCAACCGGTTACCAAAAAGTTCTTTTCAACAGCATGTAAAAATTATTTTTCTCTATAATTGTTACAATGATTAAAATATAGGGCTTTCATATTTTTTCCTCTGAAAATCGTCATTGAACTTAATTCAAAAAATGAAAGAAAAACAAACTAATCCACGTGTGGTACTCATTTCAGCACATCTGAGATCGTCTAGTTTCTTGAAGATCTGCACTATTAATTGTGTGAAGGTTTTCTTCTGAAATCTTGGAGTAAAATGTTCACAGTAGCTTTGACAACATCATATTCTGTGGAGAAAACAAAAACACGTTAACCTGCCTAAGAAGCACACTCTAGCAAAGGAAAAGGCAGCACCTGTGACCTGCTGCTGTTACATCTTCAGAAATCACTGTTTTGGGACTAATTTCCTGCCATGAAAATCCGTCTTTAATTTTTGCAACAGATAGGCTCTTTTATGAATTGTTTTGCTAATGAAATTTCCAGCACCGTTATATGAAACTATGAATTTCATTAAATTCTTTAGGTAAAAAAAGTTCATATCGTTGTTTCCTTAAAACAAACAAACAAGCAAAAAACTTCAAGGTCAGGTCCTTGGCTTAGTGTCAAAGGCAGCAGGATCCCAGGACCAGCAGTTAGCGTAATGGCTATGTCGCTGGACTCCCACATGGTCGACCACGGTTTGAGTCCCGGACCCGGTGGCTTAAACTCACGCCGGGCATGTGTGCGTGTGTGCCCAAGATCCCAAGAGGAGAGTGGAGGAGAAGGGATTATGACGTGGCCATCCCCCCTGGAGGGTGATTTCTCGCTTTCTGTCTCTCTGTCTCTCTCTGCCTGTCTGGCAAGCACACACACCCTATAGCAATAAACCTCTCGGGGGAAAAAAAAAAAAAAAAAGAAAAGGCAGCAGGATCCCAACTGGCCAACCCAATGGTTCGAGTCCCAGACTTGGTGACTTGAGAAACATGTCAGGCACATGCGTGTGCATGCCCAAAATCTTGAAAGGAGGAAGAGATGGAGGAGAAAAGATTGTGGCATGATCATTCCCTATGGGGTAGGAGTGCTTTCTCTTCTCCATCTCTCTCTGATTGGTGTACACCCTTTCTAACAAAAAAAAAAGAAAAGAAAAAAAAACATTCTTTACATTGTAACAATACATAGTGAAATGTAATATAAATGTTTAATATAAGGAGATTTTATCAATGACTTTCCAAATCTGTCTAGTGGATTTCTTGGGTATGCATCATAGACACAGCACCACAGTATGTTATTAACGAGGACAACTAATGTACATATGCTGAAACTCAGGATTTTCTGGTATAACAAATGGGACAAAACAATAAACATCAACATAGTACTTCTTATGTGCTAAGCTGTTTACACATACAATTTATTTAATCATTTAATTCCCATTTTAGTAAGATAAGTTTTTTCACTTATTAATTTGTAGACATTTTTGTATTTTCAGCTCGGAATATTACAAGTCCTTCCTAGCGTATTTTTGTTCATATACCATTTTGTTCTTTAGAAAAAGAATGATTTGCTGCAGAATGATTGTTGAATCACAGGCTAAGAGAACGTTTAAGGATAGGAGACACTTCTGTATGATTTTTTAAAGATAATTGTTAACTGTCTACAGCACATTCTTCCCAACTTGGCAGCCTTCTTTACTTCAGTCATTCTGATGGATGGAGTAGTATCTCTTAGTGGTGTAAGTTTTATTTTCCCGATGTTTCTGTGTTTGAGGTTAAGCATGGCTTAAGCTATTTACCATACATTTGGATTTCCTCTGTTCTGAATTGTTTATCAAGGTCTTTTAATTATTTTTCTTTTTTCTATATATATATTTATTTTTACTTATGACTTATGTATAATCATTACACATCTTTGTAGGGTACAGAATGGTTCTAAAAGCATGTATGCAGTGTATAATAATTCAAGGATACGAACTACTCACCACCTTCAACATTTAACACTATATTATGTTGTCAACATTCAAAACCCACTCCAATGGTATTCTGCAAGTATATACTGAATTGTCTCTGATGGTCTTTACTGTGAGATACAGTTCTTTTTTGTGTGTGTGTGAGATACAGTTCTAAAGAAAAACATGTTGGTTAAAAATCAGGAAACAGTTTCATAAATTGACAGAGATACTCAACATAGCCAATGAAAGAAGAATTTGTAATTTCCATGTAGAGGACTGTGGGAGATTAGGGTTTATTATCTGAAAAGATCTGTGGTATTATTGGCCCAGCTAGAGATAGGTAAAATTGGACATCGTAATAGCTTATTTTAAGAAGAGATAAGAAGAGATAGATAAAAAACACTTACTCACTGAGTTCTTGTAAGACTATAGTACTGTTCTGTGCATAAAGAAATAAGTCTTTGAAAAAGCAAAAAATCAAACAAAATTCAAAAGAGATGTTTAAAAATGAAGACATGGTCAAGCCAGGGATTTATAGGTTTTACAAAGTTCTTGATTTTAGCCTTATTTTGAATTTATTTTGAAAGAATCTTCTGTAATATTTTGCACTGTTCCATCATCTAGTTTTATACAATAATAATGCTTATAATAAATATATAAATTTAAATCTGTGGAGATCATTGTCTATCAAATAATAGGTGGATTTGTATTAAAATCTACATTTGTGTAAAATAGTTGAATCTGCTTTTAGTCCTGACATTCAATGCCAGTATCAATATATGAGAACATCCTTTTTCTGTAGTTGTTTTTTGTTTTCTTACTTTGATTTGTCTCCTTTTAACTTTCCTGGTATAGTAGTGCCTTAAGTATTTCCTAAAAAGTGAGTTTCATTTTGGTGAATTCTTTCAGCCTTTATCTATGTGGGAATGATTTGATTTCTCCTTCCAATTTGAAGGACAGTCTTGCTGGGTATAGTACTCTTGGCTGAAATTGCTTTTCTTTCAGGGTTTTAAATATGTCTTCCCATTCTTTCCTTACCTGCTTGGTTTCAGTTGAGAGATCTGTTGGTATCTAATGGAGTAATCCTTTGTAAGTAACTTGGCATTTCTCTCCTGCCATTTTTTTAAAATAATGAATTATTTACTTATTTAATTCTATTTCTTCTTCTTATTATTTTTTTAATTTGACCAGATAGAGACAGAGAGAAAAGGAAAGTGAGAAAGCAAGCTGCCAGGTCTGAGACTTGAATAGCACAGTCAGCCATGTGGGAATCCAGTGCCTTTAACTACCATGTCACCTGTCGGCCCTTCTCTTTTGCTATTTTTAGAATTTGTCCTTGTTTTTTTCCCCCAAAATTTGCTATAACATACATTGGAGAGGATCTTCTTTTATCTGTTTGATGTCTTTCATATCTCCTAAATTTGGATATCCTTAGGCCTTTCTAAATTTGGAAAGTTTTCAAGTAATATATTATGAAAGATGTTTTTGATGCCCTTATCCATCTCTTCATCTTTTGGAATACCTGTTATGCAGATACCCAGCCCTTTAGTGGTGTCTAGGATTGCCCATATATTGTGTTCATTTTTAATGGTTATTCTCTTCAGTTGCTTGGACTAAGTCAGAGGTTTTGTTTTCAAGATCAGAGGTTCTTTCTTCTGCATGGTATAATCTGCTGTTGATACTTTCGATGGAGGTTTTCATTTCCTACATTGTGATCTTTATTTCCAGAAAAATCTGTCTAATTCTTTTTCAGTGTGTCTGTTTCTTTATGGAGTTCCTCCTTCAAGTAATGGAAGGATTTTCTCATCTCTTGGAATTGGTTGTCCGTTTTCTCTTGCATCTCATTGAGTTTTGTTATCATGAACATTCTGAATTATTTTTCTGGCATTTCTACAATGTCTTGTGTTTTATCCATTGCTGGTGAGGAGTTACGATCCTTTGAAGGGGAGATGTTTCCTGATTTTCTTCTGTTTCTTGGGATCTCTCCTTTGATTTTTCATCACGTGGTGGTATACTCATTTCTTTAGAGTATATTTCTGGACATGCGTGCTCCCGCATTTCTCTATAATATACATAAGCTCTGGGCCAGTTTTCCTCTTCCACGGTCGGTAGGAATAAGGAATCCACAGTAGGAGTTTTGGATTCAGAGTTTCAGAGAGGAGTTTCTCTTCTTTTGCTGCTAAGAAAGTTATGAGACTTTCCTCCAGACTCTCCTATTTTCAGGTGTTTGGTTCTAGTATATCCAAAACTAACTGCTCCCAGTGTGGGTGGAGGTTGACCTGATGCAGAATTGTAAGGTGGAGAGCCGGAGAGCCGGTCCTCCCTGCTGATAAGCTCAAGCCAAGGCTTGGGCCTTCCTGTTGGTCCTGGATAGGTGAGGGGCTGAACAGTTTTAGTACACTTGGGGAAGCAACTTCTTTCTACCTTCTGTTTTTGGAATTGCAGGGTCTCCCTGTTGCTCCTTTCTTTGGGATTACAGGGACGAGGTATTGGTTGTGGAAGGCTAGAGAGCCTTTTGGCACAGCAGGCTGGGCAGGGGTCCATGCTGGTTAGCTGAAGCTGAGCAGCTTAATTTGGACCTGCCTCTTGTCCTGGGTGGGTGAGGGCCAGAAAGACATCGACACACGTGGGGCAGCAGCTCCTATTTTCTCTCCCTGGGATTGCCAGGTCTCCCCGTTTTTTCTTCTCTCTCTGGGATTGCAGGAACCAGGTATTGGTTGTTAAAGGCGGTGAGTCCCTCCTCCCCCACAACAGGATGGGCGGGGTCCCTGCCCATGAGCTCAAGCTGAGCGTCTTGGGTTGGGCCTGCCTGTTCAGTGTCTGGGATTGCAGGGTCTCCCTATTGCTCCTTCCGCCTCTGGGACTGCAGGAATTTACAGCAAGGGTTTTAATCCTTAAACTGTAAGTACTGATAGTATCATTCTTTTATGCAGATGAGAAACAGAATTTAAGCAATTTGCCAAAGGCTGCTCAAAATTAGCAGAGTCTAGAGTCAAGGCAGGCAAGCCGGCTCTGTGTACCTCCCTCTCAGCACTCATGCTAAGGTGCACTTCCTCACTGTTGGTCACGGAGAACGTGGTGGTGTCCTGGCTCCTCTGCTCTCTCTCATCAAGAGTCTTTTTTTCTTCCTTAAACAAGTGTCCAATTACTCCTAAACAAAAACCGTAGGCTGGGAGTCAGTTTTGGTTTCATCTTCTCATCTACTGAATTCTAGCCCAAGCCCTACCCCTTTTTATCTTTGGGATCTTGGCCTAGTTAGTTCATATCACTTGACCTCAGTTTCTTCATCTTTAAAATAAGGGGATCGGGGCAGGTGGTATCAAAGTTCTATCAGCAGCCTAAAATTATATCACCCTAAGGAGAAGGAAAACAAATTCAAGAAAATACTTTATTGCTAGAGAAAGAAAATACTTTTGTACAATCTAAAGTAACCACTTGGGAGTCAATTAAACAAGGCCCTCAAAAACACCTCTCTGACTGTGAATGAAATGACTAAGAACAGGAAAGGAAATCCTGCTTTTCCCCCCAACGCCTTAGCACCTAACTCTTGACTCGTGTGCCTTTGGCTATGGCCGGTGGCTGTGAATGCCACGTCAGACTTCATAATATGCTGGCCCAGGTGCCCACCGGTGCAACGGCCAGTCACCTTTGGAGAAGAAACATTACAGAAAAATAATTACATTCTATCACCTTTGAAGCTATTCTAATTTCACAAGGGTTTCTGTTTTCCTCCCATTAAACCCAGCTGGTCACTTTAGCTGA